GGCAATGAAGCTGCTGATGCGCTAGCGAAAAAAGGCACAAAAGAACCCTTGCCACAAAAAAATAAACTTACTTTTAAAGAAATAGAAACAGTAGCCAAAACAAAAATAAACAAGAACTGGAGGATCCCACCTAAGCACAGTTGGTACAGTGGAGTGAACCCAGGAGGAGCTCTGAACATCAGAAATAGACAGCATCAAACAACACTAACAAGATTTATAACAGCCCATCTCAAGCGCAATTGAAGATAGAAAATAATAACAAAATCAACCCCACTTGCTCATAATGTAGCTTGGCACCTGCAGCTCCAGAACATATTTTATCATGCATTAGATGTACTAAACAAGACCTTTGGGAGAGACTGCTGCCTATCATCAAACAGCTCGAGGAGCATGTGAATCATGGAATTTGTGTAAACTTTGCATGAGGGGATAAGAAACAACAATAGAACTTCCATTAGAGGACTCTCCCACTAGAGAAGACATCTCTTTTCAAGCTGTTCTCCTGTATAAGATGACATCCCTCTCTAAAGAACACTTTGGCAACTTGAGGTTCTTCAGTAAGGAGGTTCAACTGTATTAAAATAAATTTCCAACATTTAAAAAACTAGATCAGGAGAAGGTTAGCATTTTTTTTTTGCTTATCCCTAGTACACGTGGTACAGGCCATGATAATCATGGTGGGTAGTTAGCGACTGCTTTTACTGTAAGTACACCACATGTCTACACATGTGAAAAGCAGTTCGACTTTGCACTTACAAATGTGCCAGAGCTCCCGTTTGGTTACTTGCACTCGCTGGTGGGGTTGGACTTTTGCAAGAATTGGGGGGCCATTGGAGCATTTTTTTTTAAACAGAAAAAAAGTGTCCAATGCGGGAATCGAACTCGGGTCGTAGTGGTTGAAAACCAAACGGTTTAACCAGCCTTCCACAGGTTAGCATACAAGCTATGATTGGGAAGAGAAGATTTTCCACAGAGCGGGATGAAAACAATTTGATGGAAGGGAACCAAAAGACTGAACAATATATAGTAAATAAAGCAATAACGTCTATATATAAGAAATGGAAATATTCAAAGCACGAATGTTTCTTTTGCAAATATTCATACGAAATTCTACTGTCCTAGAAGCTTATGTCCATAGTTTGCCTGAATACCATTTCTGAGATTCCACCCTTCAGTGTAGCATATAAAAGCAGAATTGTCCAATACAGTATTAGAGATCTAAGAAGTGGTCTGATGGATTAAATTGGCGAAACTGCTGGGAGAGTTCACCACTGATGACCCAAGCTCTCTCAATATTTTTTCATTGCAGTAAGGGCAGTAGAAGTTTGTATTATGTATTAAAGAAATATTCGTGCTTTTAAATCCTTTCATTTTAAATATTTTGAATATTTTAATTTTTCATAATTCTGTGAATTTTGTGAAAAAAGATACATTTGTGTTTTGAATATTTTCATTTCTTAATATACAGTATAACCTCTCTGATTCAGCACTTACTTCTAAGCAACAGTTTTTCCAATCCCAATATCAGCCTATATACATTAACCAACTATAATTCAACAATAAAACTTTAATTCAACAGTTTTAAATTCATAAAAAATTAACCCCAAAAACCTGATCCCTAGGAGTGTTGAATTAAAGAAGTTGAAGTATGTGACCCTCACCTTGTGGTAGCCCTCCTGAAGAGACTGCTGGGCCCCCTCAGAACCAGAGCCGATGGCCTTGGCATTATACTGAACATAGGTGCCGGAGGGGTCCATGTGGTAGAGCTGGGGACCCCGGTCATCTACCCCAGCAAACAGGACGGCCACACCAAACGGCCGGCTCATGGCGCCTCCATCCTCATCACTGTCTCCAAACTGGATGGCCAGGTTTGACACGGCCTGAGCTACACTCTCCACCTGCATGGGCTCGTTGTACAGGAACCTGTGGTTCTGGAACACAATATATTCTTTTATTGTTGAGAGGGATTGTACAGTACATGTCAAAAATAATAATACAGTTAAACCTGTCTATAGCGCCTTCCTCTCTATAACGCCTGATTTTAAATACGTAGTACAATGAGATTTACATTAAAAGTGACCTGTTTATAACACTCCCTCTCTATAGCACCCTATTTTGGTGAAGCCCAAGAGGGGGCGCTATAGACAGGTTTAACTGTAGTTGGGAATAAAGTGATATGGCACAATTTGAATTATAGATTATAAACACAAGGTAATAAGACCAATTGCAATGAGACCAACATGCAATTGAGCCCATAACCCTTTTAGAGTGAGGGTGCTTTTATTATACCAAGACCAAACAGGGGCAACTCCGATAGTCGTTGCACACTATTTACTTATTTATGTAGATTTGGTCTTATTACCTTGAGTTGGGAATAAAGTGAAAAGAGGTAACTAGACTGTCTAATACACACTGTGTCAAATATACAATAATAGACAAAACTTGAGGTAGTGGATAGACTTTGATGTCTTCAGTTGTCATTCTTTTTAAGGAGACAGAGGCAATTTTGTTCACACTTGGTTATCTCATATGTCTTCAATAAAGGTCACTGTGTATCAAATCAATGTTATTGTTTGAATCCTGATATACATGCTGGTGGTGCTTATCCCTAGTACACGTGGTACAAGCCATGATAATCATGGTAGGTAGAGTTAGGCAACTGCTTTTACTGTAAGTGCACCACATGTCTACACATGTGAAAAGCAGTTCAACTTTGCACTTACAGATGTGCCAGAGGCCCATTTGGTTACTTGCACTTGCTGGTGGTTGGACTTTTGCAAGAATCGAGGGCCATTAGAGCATTTCTTTTTTTTTAATCAGAAAAAAGTGTCCAATGAGGGAATTGAACCCGAGTTGTAGCAGTTGAAAACCAACGATTTAGACCATCCTTCCACCGACCCCCCGATATACATGCTAAAAACTTCCTTTGTCTATGAATGGATATATTCAGTCCACCCTCACTATAATATCACTTGGGACCAAGATTTTATGTTGTTAGAACACCATGTCTGTGTAACCACAGTTAATAATTTCAAATTGGAACATGGGATTTTGTTGTTGTTGTTTCTTATCCCCTTGTGTAAAGATTACACAAATTCCATGAGTTCATGCTCCTCGAGCTGTTTTATGATGAGCAGCGGCCTTTCCCAAAGGTCCTGTTTAGTGCATTGTTGGAGGAAAAATTGAAGGAAGAGAGGAAGACTCGTAATGAGCTGGCTAGAAGGGGACAAAGAAGATCACTAGAGGAGCTGTGAGTGATGGCCACTAACTGATCAAATTGAAGAATATTTGTTCATATAGTTATCAAAATTTGACTTGATGGACACTAATAACAAGAGAGAGAGAACCAAGAGCTGTTATAAAAAAGAGCTGCTATAACAAAAAGAATACACAAATTCCAAGATTTCATGCTCCTCGAACAACATAGTTGTTGTTTCTAATCCCCTTGTACATAGATTACACCAATTCCCCAAGCAACATAGGTAGTTAGTTACCTGAGCCTCCAGACGGGCCCGATCCATCATGGTCCTGGAGTCTGCCATCAGGCCGCTGACAGCACAGCCGATGTGGGAGTCAATCTCCACAATCTTCTCAATCGCTGTCAGCTCCATCAGTGGTGATGTCATCCGCTTCTCCACAGCTAGCACCACACCCTCTGGTGTCTGGATGCCGATGGCCGTCGAGCCCAGCTGCCACACCACACTCAACACTTTGTACCTGGCTGCTGCTGCTGATTTAAAAAAAAAAAATATTGTAAATATATTCTTGGTTTGTGTATTCTAAAGTAATAACAGTCAAGGGACAAAGGTAACTGAAAGGTTGATATATTTGTGACAAGTCTTGAGATTTAGATAGAATTTTTGTTGGGAGGTTAACCTCTCTCTATTCAAAATAGATGCCAAAACTAAAAGCCATCTATTGACTATCTCTGCAAACTAGCGGCCTCGGGTCGGTAACAAAGCCACAACACCAGCTTTGGTAAATTGAGAAGCGTCCACCTAGAGACCATGGTTTCAAGCTAATGGCCCTTGTTGTTCCAGGGTGGGCTTTGATTCCATGAGATCTACAAGGGATTGAATAAAATCTAGAATTTTCCAAAGAGGTGTTTGGCTGGTAAAGTGGCTAGGCCAATTCTATGGCTATAATATGAGATGGAAATTTCTGTATAGTAGGTCAATTGACCCAAAAACAAACCAAAATCCCCAACAAGATTCCAGACCTGAAGACACACTGATACCACATAACATAATTGTAAATGTACTATTGTATATACCACCCCCATTTGTCATTAATGTAAATATGATTAACTGGATTGCTTGTTTTGAGGAGTGGCACCCAATAAAGTTATTTTAAACTGGAACAGGTTAATTGATAGCACTTAAAATTGATGAGGCACAATTTGGATTGTAGATTATAAACACAAGGTAATAAGACCAAATCCAAATAAATAAATAGTGTGTGACGTTTCGGTAACAGCGTTGTTACCATCTTCAGACAAAAGTACTTTTGTCTGAAGATGGTAACAACGCTGTTACCGAAACGTCACACACTATTTATTTATTTGGATTTGGTCTTATTACCTTGTGTTGATAGCACTTAGTTTTTAGTGTCTCTTTTGACAGGAGAAGTAATCTTTATTACATAGGTTACAAAGTGTTGACTCATCACTAGAGGTGTAAGGTGGTAATTGCTATAAACATTACAGGGTATCTAACATACATCCCCTACTGTAATATAACATTCTAAGATCTTAAGAAATAAAACTATTATGCACAAATGCCTCTCCTTTACAAATAAAATAAACTTTCGACTATATTTATAATACAATATAATGTGGCTTATGATTGTAAAACGACATTTGAAAATTATCCAGGATGTGTTTCTTTTAAACGAAAAATTGTGATTTATCTTTAAGGAGAAATAACGATTATTTTTAACCTTAGGGATGAAGTATGAAAGTATGAATTGTGAAGAGTAATGATAAATGGAAAAATAAAAGTGTCCAAGGATGGGAATCGAACCCACAGTTACCCGCTACCCGCTTACCGGACAGATGCCATGTCCACTAGGTTACCCTGGACATGTAACTCTACTGTGTCCTAAAAACTTATCTCCATAAATACCATAACTGATATTCCATCCTTCATTGTAGCATATAAAAGCAGAATCGTTCAATACAGTATTAGAGCTTTAAAAAGCGGTCTGGTGGATTAAATTGATAAAGTAACTGGGAGGGTTCTCCACTAATGAGCCAAAGTCCTCCGACTATTTTTTTTTTAAATCAAAGTTCGTTTTATTTGTAAAAGAGGCATTAATGCTAAATAATTTTATTTCTTATATATATAGACAGCACATTAATGCCTTATAATTCTATGGTTTACTTAGGCTGATGAGGCGAACCTGAGAAAGTGATAGAAGAGATTTGGAAACCAAGGTGAAAGATACCAACCAATCCTCCACCAAACAAGAATTCCAACACAAGGTAATAAGACCAAATCCAAATAAATAAATAGTGTGTGACATTCAGCACTCTTGTCTGAAGATGGTAACAACGCTGTTACCAAAATGTGACACACTATTTATTTGGATTTAGTCTTATTACCTTGTGTTTATAATCTATAATACAAATTGTGCCTTATCAAGAATTCCAACAATCCAAGAAGTGGAAACAACCCAGTGACTGGGGAGAATCAGAGGAAGAAAATAAATGTTTTGAGCAACTTTAGTAAAGAGAAAGTGTGTGTGTGTGTTGAAAGAGAGAAATCTCGCTGCGAGAGATCCCAGCAGCATGTAGCAGACACTTACCTTGATAGCCTCAATAGCATATTCCACCTGGAAGAGGCGACCTTCAGGGGAGAAGGTATTGACTCCCCTGTCATATTCAGACCTTGTCATAAACATTCTGTAGCAACCTGGAGACACACAACAACCCATTTTACACATGCTCCGTCAGCAATAACAAGCTGCATTAAAAAACATCAAAGATACTACAAGAAAATAAGACCTAATCCAAATAATTTAATAGTGTGTGACATTTTGGCAACAGCATTGTCACCATTATCAGCCAAAAGAATAATGCTGTTGCCAAAATGTCACACACTAATAAATTATTTGGATTAGGTCTTATTTTCTTGTATTATAATCTATAATCCAAATTGTGCTTTATCATCAAGAATACTTTAATGCGGAGTGGAACATCCACGGCTCACACCTAAGGGTGTTCAGAGAACAATCATCATTCTAGAGCACAGTGGAAGCTCCATGAGAGGACACCTCTCTACAGAGGACAGTTTTTATTGTCAAAATTATCATTTTTATTAATTAGCTGCTCTCGGGTAAGAGGACACATCTCTCTAAAGGAAACTTTGCAGAGTCAGAAGAGCATCCATTAGACAAAGGTTCTAATAAACCAATTCGATTAAAAAGGTAACAAAACCAAACCCAAATTATTGAATAATTTTTCAATTTTTCAAACAATTCAATAATTTGGAGGTTTGGTCTTGTTACCTTTTGATTATAATCCAAATTGTACCATCTCTAATAGAGGTTAGCAGTCTTGGAAGACCATTTTACTCTGTTCTTAGCAAGTCTTCATATTCTTGAAAAGGTACAATTTGGATTATAGATTATAAACACAAGGTAATAAGACCAAATCCAAATAAATAAAGAGTGTGTGACGTTTCGGTAACAGCATTTTTACCAAAACATCACACACTATTTATTTATTTGGTCTTATTACCTTGTGTTTATCTTCATAGTCTTGTATCACTCAATACCAGACCATTCTTTAAGATTAGTGAAACACTCAGTCTTTTATTGGTGAAAAACTACCAATTGTCTGTATAGGTTTGTGGAATACCTATTTACACATAGCAGTTTTTGTACTTGCATATTGCCAGAGAGAAACATTTGGTTACTTACTGGTGAGATTGAGCATATATCTGGGGCTATTGAAGCTCAATCTTTGTGGGGGGAAAAGGTGCAATGAGGGATTTGATCTTGGGTTCCAGGTTATTTAAAATTGACAGTTTATACTGCTAGGCTAGCAGTAAGGACAGTAGAAAATTTGTATTATTATAAAAGAAACATTCGTGCTTTTAAATCCTTTTATTTTATACGTATAGATGGCGCGTTATTGCTTTGTATTAATTTATGCCTAACTGGCCTTGTCTTTATAGTTTGCGGAAGAGCATTGCTCGATGCAAATATTTAAATGTAATTCTACTGTCCTATAAGCTTATGTCCATAGTTTACTTGAAAACCATTTCTAAGATTCCATCCTTCAGTGTAGCATATAAAAGCAGAATGATCCAATACAGTATTAGAGCTCTGAGAAGCGGTCTGGTGGATTAAATTGGCGAAACCGCTGGGAGGTTTCACCACTGATGAGCCAAGCCCTCCCAATATATTTTTTCATTGCAATAAGGACAGTAGAAAATTTGTATTATTATAAAAGAAACATTCGCGCTTTTAAATCCTTTTATTTTAAACCTTTCTTCCAATGGTCTACCCCATTGATTCTTTAACCCTTTCTGGTCTTCAAGCCAGTGTCAGTGGCCTTGGGTTCGCTACCCCGGCCGCAAGCCACATCAGTGGCTTCTGTGTAAACAAGGGGTGGGGGACGGGGCACAGATGTTGCGTTTCCTGGAAATTAGGTGGGGATCTTGCTGAATCATCTTCCATTCCCTCTCACCTCGATTTGTTAGTTATTTTGCTTACAAATTATCACTCTTTAGAACATTGTTTCTACTTCGTCCGCACTTCCTTTTTTGGGTGCTTCCTTATAAACTGAAAGTGTTTTTAAGATTCTAATGCTGATATTATATAGATATATAATCTATAATCCAAATTGTGCCTTATCATCCTTTCTTAGAAAAACAGCTTTAATAACTTCATATTTTCACACAGAGATGACTTAAATATCTTTATTTTTTTTCAAATAAAGAGGTGATAAGGCCAAATACAAATAGGTAGAATACTGGTGGATATAGGTTGCTGAGTTGATAGCCCAAATCTAGCGGAAAAGTGTTTATGAACAAAACAATGATTGAATTAAAGAGGTTGGTAAGATACTCATTTCTGCTGATTGTATAAACATATCTGTGATTGTATTATTCTGTGCTTGTAGTGGTAAGTGTGCAAATATAGTTCAATTTTTAAAATAACTTAACATATTGGATTGAATTAAAGAAGTTGGTAAGATACTCATTTCAGCTGATTGTATAAACACATCTGTGATTGTATTATTGTGTGCTTGTAGTGGTAAGCGTGCAAATATAGTTCCATTTTTAAAATAACTTAACATATTGGATTTTTCGATATTTTCTAATAGTAAATTGCAATTTTTCTATATTTGAATATTGGATTGAATTGAAAAGGTTGGTATCTGTGATTGATAAGGCACAATTTGGATTATCTATATATATAAAAATGAATGTCTGTCTGTCTGTCTGTGTGTGTGTGTGTGTCCTCTATGGATTCAAAAACCATACATCCAATCGCCGTGAAATTTTGGGATATTATGAGGTGTATCCCCGGAAAGGTTTACGAAAAAAAATTTCTTGAATATCTTGAATATCCTTAGAGTTATTTGCAGATTTGTATATTTAACTCGCAAGCAGCGCTACCATTGAGACGGAGATAGGCTTAGTTTGCTGCTCCTGATGACCTTGGGTCATCGTGTGAGTCACAGCATGATGCTACAAAAACACTCTCTCTGGGGATTTTACAGCGTCGACAACCTGTAAGATTGCCTCTCTCATATATTATACTTTAAACATCTGCTTAATTAAAGCATTTTTCATTTGAAAGAGACTGCTCTCTTAACCCCCTTTAGACAACATTAAATGATATTCCGTGTCGATGATTTTGTAATGTATAGAATTAGGAAAGACAAAATTCAGGATGACACGGCTCACAGGGAACGGTAAAAAATGTTCACTTTATCGAGGAAATACAAAATTCGGGATGACACGGCTCACAGGGAACGGTAAAAAATGTTCACTTTATCGAGGAAATACAAAATTCAGGATGACACGGCACACAGGGACTGGGAAAAAATGATCACCTTATCGAGAGATTCACGACCATGATTTTATTCAACTTATCGAGTATTTTTCAAGGGACCGGGAAAATATGTTCACTAGATAAAACGATTATTTTGTAATATAGAAAATTAGGAAATACACAAAATTCAGGATGACACGGCACAAGGGACCGGGAAAAAATGATCACTTTATCGAGAGATTCAAATTTACGAGTTTCAAATCATCAAAATATATCTTTTTTTATATGTTTATAGAGAATTGTTTTAACAAATGTTCGTTATACAAACCTTTACTCGGGTAAAACCCGGGCGAAGCCGGGCACATCCGCTAGTAGATTATAAACACAAGGTAATAAGACCAAATCCAAATAAATAAATAGTGTGTGACGTTTCTGTAACAATGTTGTTACAGAAACGTCACACACTATTTATTTGGATTTGATCTTATTACCTTGTGATCACATGTGTGATTGTATTATTCTGTTTTAGGACTTCTAGTGGTAAGCGTGCAAATATAGTTCCATTTTTAAACCTAACGTATTGATATGATATACTTGGTGGCATGTTGCCATCAGTAGTCCACACAGAAATAAGTTATCTCACCTAGAAGTTATACTGTATATAACTTGAATTGATTATTCTTGTCAAACATGATTTGAAAGGTAAAAGTCAACCAATGTCATTCTGACAAATGCTTCTATTAGCCAATTAGATAATAACTTTGATGAGTGAAGTTGAGATGAGAGGATAAATATATGGCTCAAGTGTGTACTTCTGACATCCCAACATTATAAATGTAGTGTCTTCAATAGCAAAGCTTAAAATAAAGGCTTAAATTGTGCTATTTTGGTAAATGAAATGCTTGGGAGAGGTCAGTTTGAATATTTTGTCATGTTTTTATTTTTGATTAAAAAAAGGGTAAGTAAATATATTTATCTTTCATCCTTCTGCTCAAAGTTTAATAGTCATTAAAATTTATGTTGACTTTGTTGAATTTTTTTTTTTATGTTAAGGTTAATAGAGTAATAGAATAA